CTGTTTCCAAATGCTGACAGACGCTGAACAGTGCGAGGTGGAGCTACATTAAGAAGTTCACGATGAGTTCTTCTCCTTTAGGTTCCCATGAGGATTCCTGGAAGAGACAATATTGTTCTTAATGAGTCTTATGAAGTTTGGCACGAACCGTGCTGTATCTTGCTGCAGCTCTCTCAAGGCTTCACTGTTATTTACTGAAATAATACCTGGGATACTCGGCATTGTCCGGATTTGTTTTTGACTTAGTTAAACAGTATGGTTGTAGCCACATTACCCCGGCAACAGTCCATGGTTCACCCAGGAGTTGTCACGAACGGTTTCAATATGATGACGATGATCTTCATGGGAAGAACAGCCATTATAATCTATGTCCGCTCATAGCCAAATTAAGTGCACGTGCAAAAAGTTACCATTCCAGATTTCAGCTCTGTGATTAAACAATGTGGTCGCACATAACAAATAGACAAGAAAAATAGATTTGTTTTTAATGAGAGGGCTACACTACACCCTCCAAGGTGGGGGTCGGCTACTGTCAACAAATTCCCCCAAATTCCTCTTTACTGACACTTCTGGGATGCGCACACACACACACACACACACACACACACTAGCAAAAAGTACCCGGTTTCGGTCGTGTGAGGTACACACTGTATGTATAACTCTGACTGTCACGGTTTGCCGTCCCTGACACGTGTAAACTACCTCAGGTAATCGCCGTGGTGATACGTTAGTCGGGAAGATTTTTCAATTTTGCCCGGACTACCCGGGGGTCCGTAATACCAAGGTACACAACCTTGGGGACCATGTACAATGTGTGTAAAGTTTCAGAACTCTAACTGCATCCGTTCTGGAGGTATGGCTGGGAGAGACAGAAAAAAACACATATAAACATAAGTGCCATGTTTATATCTGAGATCATTGTCCTCTTCTATTTTGGCATCATTTACATGACAGTAGATGGCAACACACTCTTAGAGCAGGTCATCTTCATCGTTGTTACCAACTGTCACGCAGGGTACACAGGATGACGTCAGCTTACCGGCGTGTGTTTGCTGACCACACCTGAGTGAGCAACCACCGTGAGTTCAGTGTTTGCTTCAGCCTGAGTGGCCACTTGCCTGCTCCTCTTGCACACAGGATCCGTCAACATCATCACAGACAAGTATGAGAAAAAACTGCGTGTGCTAAATGCCGCCTATTTGGCTACAGCGTTACCTTAAAACCATTATATCAAAGTCTTTACATCTCTCTATACTCGGCGAATGTTAGATCTACCATAAACCCAACAGTTACCGTAAGATCACACCATAACACTGGACATGAAAGTCAAATAAGAGATATTCAATGCCAAAATGTAAACGTGAACAGACAGGGAGTTAGTATAAAGACAAATAGCTTTGATAAAAACAGGACTAGGTGGGACTAATAAAGTAAGGAGCAACTTCGTACTTGAATTAATTATGTTTGTTTCTTGTTACGTCACTCGTAGCTTAATATTTTATACGCTAACCCGACGGCCTGATGGAGTGTGTGTGTTAAGTGTTAAGTGAAAAGTAAGGAGATGGTAGAGGAGGAACTGCTCTTACTACCCTCCTCCTCCAGACCTCCACTATACGAGTACACAAGAACAATACAAAGGGTTTCCTCCTGTTTAAAGACGCTGCATCTACCGACCCTCTTATGTAACACTGATAGAATGAAATGATTCAGTATCTTATGACAATGTCTTTTACCAGTCATAGAGCCACCAAAAAAAGAATACTCTAGGACATATCTCGCCATCAGAACAGCTCAGATGATAACCCCGGGAGCGTCTGATGGGCATTGTTATTGTTGTTATTTTAGATTGTTGCTGGAATTTTAGTGGAAAACATTTTGAGAGTTTGTGACTTTGTTTAAGTTACACCATTCATCGTCCCTCGTGAGTGTGTAGTTCTGAGTGACGTCATCTGTTGGACTGTATGAAGGGTATTCTGAGTGACGAAATCTGTTGGACTGTATGGAGGGTATTCTGAGTGACGACATCCGTTGGACTGTATGAAGGGTATTCTGAGTGACGACATCCGTTGGACTGGATTATAACACATCTGGAGTCACCTTGATGCCTCTGACGTACACTCATAGAATTAAAGAATCTTACATGGTTAAAAAGACGTCTCCTGTGTGTGTGTGTGTGTGTGTGTGTGTGTGAGTGTGAATGTGTTTGAGTGTGTGTGAGTGTGTTTGAGTGTGTGTGTGTGTGTGTGCTTTGTTGTTGTATTTTTCTAAACCAAACCTGACCTAGTTTCCTTCATCCATCTTGTTAATGATCAGAACAACTAACAACCTAAGGGAGAAGAGAGCAAAAATTTCCCAACGGTATAACCACTAGACCTACAGCAAGTTTGTGGCCTGTCATTCTCTCTTCACTGTACAAAATGAAGCCACTGGACTTTGTAATGTACACCGAACACAACAGACACCATCCCCAATGAAACTTCTACACATATTTAACCTTGTACAACCACCAATTATACCTACAATGAAAAATATATGGCCGTAAACATAATCACAAAGAATGTAAAGGAACTTGTGAAGCATCAAGTACATGAGGCTATTACAGTGAAGTGTATATTCATCCCCTGCTGGAGGTATGTGAAGGGCGGACCGTCGCTCGTGATCTGAGGCCCAGCACCGTGAAATGAGGCGAGGTGGATCCCTCCCCAACCACCCCCCCGCTTTCTTGACCCAGCCCAGCCAGGCCAAGAAGTGATTTAAATTCTTTCCACCCCTCCACTTACACCTTCACCCGCCCTATCACCTCACCCAACAATACACCCCCTCCACCTACAAACCTTCACTCGCAACCTCATCTCATCCAACGCCTCCACCTACACACCTTCAGCCGCACCCACACCTCACCCGTTCATCCTCTCATCTAACCATACACCTACACACCTTCACCCGTCCTCTCACCTCACCCGTCCATCCTCTCATCCAACCATATACCCCTCCACCTACACACCTTCACCCGTCCTCTCACCTCACCCGCCCATCCTCTCATCCAACAATACACCTACACATCTTCACCCGCCCTATCACCTCACCCAACAATACACCCCTCCACCTACACACCTTCACCCGCCCCCTCATCTCACCCACCCATCCTCTCCTTCAGCGACCCTTTCACCTGTCCACTCATCCACCATCGTTAGCTCATGCAGATATCAGTTCTCCCAAAGCCATCATACTAATCCAGCGAGACGGCCATTCAAGCCTCCACTCTCTAGATCACACACACACACACACACACACACACACACACACACACAAAGCGTCCCTGTTTGCAATGAAAATGAGAGAGAGAGAGAGAGAGAGAGAGAGAGAGAGAGAGAGAGAGAGAGATTCACACGTAGCTCGTTAAACAGATGACTTGTTCAACATACTGAGAGGAGAGACTCAGGGTCACTTTAAACAGGGGTGAAGGGAAGTGTTCCACAGCAGGTGTCGGATACAATGACCACCCTTACCTTACTGCACTCTACTTTGTCGAGAGAGAGAGAGAGAGAGAGAGACGCTGATTTCTGTGTACTAACAATTTTCTCATAAAACCCAGGGATAGATTTTTTTGTTGCTATAACTTTGACAGAAATTTCGTTCATACATTGTCAACTCTTTCTGTTTCATTTAAGGCGTCGTTCACTACCAAATGCCGTAACTATACTTAAACTTTATCATCAGATTACCAAGTAGTGTCTGACTAGTATTATACAGCAGGTGTCTATAGCCCATCACTGAGAATCATGGAACACTCACACACACTGTTCCTAACCAGCGTCATGGAAACACGGTTCATTACATCATAGGTCAGTTTCGCTCGTCTCTCTATAAACATCCTTACCGCAGTATCTTCAGTAACAGCAAATGGCACCTGTTATTTTGCTTTTATCTAAATTTTCAGTCATATCACCTGAACGACACAACCGTCATCCCCAGTGTTTTCACTTGTACCAGAAAGACAATCTAAAGTGCGTGTCTGACTTATCATATATATTTGTTCATTCAATTTAAATGAAATGTGAAAGTGGGACGGTTCCATCGGCATGACCGACCATTAAGGACAATGAATGCAGCACACTGGGCACTTTCTTCCAAACATGTTTGGCAAACACGGTCCACCGGCCAGCAAAACAGAAACTTTTGCGTCACACTGGGATGTTTTGTTGGCGCATCTACTCAACACAACGAAAACAACAACAAAGCGCCTAGACAAGGTTCGCCATGGATCCCGCTACTACAGTTGATAATTTGCAGGATTGTGCTATATTTTTTTCAACTGGCGAAGCAAGTGTGGCGTCTGCAAAAGCTAAAGAAAAGACAGTGGGTGTATCGTGAAGTTTCTTTAAAAGTGGCGGCGGCTGGCTGGTCAAAGAAGATCCTGAATAATGACTTAATAATGCTAAAGAAGGTTTACAGTGACGAATAAATAGATGTATGTCACCGTGTATATGTTATATTTTAAATTATTATTGTTTCATCATTTATTTAAATTTTTACTTGACATTATATGAAGCTCATTTGAACACTAATCCGACCAGCAAAGATCCCCGCCAACCCGTTGTCCATTTCTCGCAACAGCAGAAATCTTGCTGCTTGCTGGGCCCTCAGGCCAGCGGCCAGCAAATTGGGCAACATATTGGAGAAAAGTGCCCAGCGTGCCGCTACCTTAAGCCTTTGGTACGTAAGAAGGCAGCGTGGCCGACGCCAATCAACTTTAAAAGTTAGTTACCCATTTACTACCTGGCAGACTGGAAGTCCCCGGAATCGAACCAGCAACTCGAAGGAAAGGAGGCTAACGCTGTATCCACTAGGCCGCTGCACCCCAAGCATTAAGAATAAATCATTTATTTCCCATCCACTTGCTCCCCTCCCCTCCATGGTCCACTAATAAAATGTAAGTATGTCTTGTTACATTTCAGAGTAATTAGATACATGTGGATGGTGTGAGGTAAAACAAGCTGTCAAATGCATATATAAATTTATTATATTTTATAAAAAACTATGAGTGCAGATGCGAGAGATGTTGGATGACTAGAGAACTGCTTTCTTCACGAACCGCCGACATGCTGCACACACAGGGACAAATGAGTATCACAGAACACGAGTTATGATATGAATTTTTCCATGTATAAAACAGTCACATTCGTTATTTACTAAGATTAAATACGGATAATATATCTCTCGTATTTTAAAACATTTAGTGGTCGATAGTGTAGGCGCCCAGTAGACAGGCACAGCTGGCGGGCAGCTTGAAAGATTCAATGGCGAAGGGGAAGTACTGATCATAGTAGTCGTAGACGAGGAAGCGGTGGTAGATGGACTTCTGCAGGCACTTGGACTCGTAACATACAGGCACTTTGGGACAGTCTTCACCAGCAGTGAGACACTCCTCTACGCGGGTGGTCTGAGTGAAGGTCTTGTAGTGGACATTAATGTTGTTGACGATGACGCGCCACTTGCCGTCGGTGTTCTGGGCACGGAGGGGGCGGATGTAGGAGGTCTCTGAGGGACAGAGGTAAGTCTCCTCTTCCAGGGTGTTGGGACGCTCTACAGAGAGTTCCGTGTCAAGTTCGGCCACGTCGGCGTACAGGGAGTTGAACTTGTCCAAGTGGTACTGGATGGCGTGCTTGATCTCGTACTCTGGATACTCCTCGTCCTCGAGGCACCAGGTAGAGTTGGTCAGGTCAGCACAGGCGGGCACGGCAGGCTCGGGGTGCTTGTAGGACGGGGCGGGGTGGTAGGATGGGGAGGGGTGGTAGGATGGGGCGGGGCGGTAGGATGGGGCAGGGCGATATGTTGGGGCGGGGTTGTAGACTGGCTTTGGGCGATAGGTTGGGGCAGGTGTATAAGACGGGGCAGGCGTATAAGACGGGGCAGGTGTGTAAGACGGGGCTGGTGTGTATGATGGGGCTGGCGTAGGTTTGTATGAAGGAGCGGGTGTTGTTGGGTGGTAGGAAGCAGCAGGTTGAGACGTCCCATGGCCGTTGCTGTACTGGATGCTGCCACCATTCCCCAGACTGATTCTCACGTGGCTGGATGATGAAGCAGCAGCTGCCGCCACCACCGACAGCAGGATCTGTACACATATGAAGATCGATTTACTCGAGTTTTGGATTATGTATTGTGAGGGTTTTTTCTTCATTGTAAGATTAGGTGGGTAACGGTGATTTGGGCAAATCAAATTAGAGAAGGCAAAAATATTTATATATAAAAATTGGAAGGCAGAAAATAAGAAGAAAGAGTGCGAGATAAATGAGGTAATTTTGTTTTTTATGTCTGACCAATGATGAGGCTAAACTATTTTTTAAAAAGCTATTCTTTTTGTTTAGATATACCATTCTCAAATTAAAGGATCAATAATAAATAATAAGATACGATTCTATGGAAAAATTCATATTTTATCTCGGATGCTAAATTAGCAAGAACTTTTAAATCCCCCAAAATGATGACATTTCACCGAAAATACTTCATTTAAGCAATAATTATTATTCAGGCAGCGAGATTCCAAACTTTGCTTTCTGTTTTGATTAAGTTTCCTGCGACCAACAGGGGTGAATTAATTACCAGTGCCTTGAGATTCATGTTCCTTCGAGAGTTCAGAGAAAGAACTGTAAGGATCCTGGTCGACTCCATGGCTTATATACCGCTGTCCTTCACCATCTCTTCTTGGGCAACCCTGAGCGCCCTCCGACTGGGCTACCGCGTGACCCGACTCGCCACCCGTGTTGTCGACAAGATGTTTCTCTTCATCAGTTAGTTTACAGCTGACAGATACCAAAAATATTAACGCAGAAGAGATTATAGCAGTCCTTTTCTTATATGGATGATTCAAATCATATTATTAGATAGCATATTTGTTAGCGTTATAATTCATAAGAAACTTTACTTTCAGGACCAAGGCCTCGCTCTTAGTGGAGAAGGTAGAGATGACCACACCCAACACCCATTGGGCATTCTTGGGTGTTATTCTGTTAGTATATCCGGACTGGTGGAGAATTGACTCGGGGGAAACTACAATATCTTGTCGTTTCTGTGTCCAGCAGCTAAAGTATGCTTCGCGTGTAAGAATCTTTGATAATAATGTCAGAGTGACAATTGGATAAGGAGAAAGCTGTTACTGTACACAGAATCCATATAATTATATAAGATAAAACTCAAACCTTAAACAATAGCATTTGTTATGAACGGATAACATTTTCAATAACAGTTTTATTGAACAAAATATTAATAATTGTTTCAACACATAACTAAATAGAGAACGAGAATTAACAAAGGGTCTACACAGTCACTCTCAGCAGCGCTAACCATCATCCTGTTGTATGAACGCCACATATTATGTTCCTTAATGATCTATACGTTTACCGCTGTAGTAGTTCGCCTTCACCTCTTTCATACCAGATTCTGTTGTCAATTTTAGTTGTTAGCACCTTTCTCTCTTTATCTTTCCCTCCAACACTCGTAGTTTTTTCCCTCTCCCTAAATCCGCCCCAAAATTGTTTAGACACAATCGACAGCGCTCGGCAAATTTTTTTTATTGACACTACCCACACCGCGTACAACAAAGCCCAGCTGGAGGAACACCACTCTTTGGTTTGTACGGTCAGCCAGCCATACCTGCTGTTCAAATACCTCACACCTGCTGCCGCTGCTTCTTCAGGAGACTGGATATGGTGCCAGGTACTGATGAACGCCTATGTCTAATCTGTTCAATTGTAATATAATGAGGATGACTACTTATTCATCTTGAAGACACTAGTTCAATGTCAGCTGAATGACCTTTGATCTTGCGATATTTAATTGATTAAGCATATTTAGAGTGAGTTTCAGAATCTGTACCTTGGGTGACATGATGCTGATATGAATGGAAAGTATATGTTAAAGGGTAATAACAAAAGTTGCAGTGAAACTTTTACGTGCACTTCAGTGAAGGAAAAAACTTTTGACACTGACCCTGAATTTTGAATGATTATGATTAAATGCAGTAAATATTTGTACAAAATCTTCAAAATTCGACTCTGAAAGGTTTAAAGTAATAACCTTTCACCAGCGGTAAGATTGATAAATATATATATGTATACGTATATACATAAATATCATCGTAATAATATATCAAAATCAGAGCTTTTCACTAATTCACTACGGGGCTATTTCGGAAAAGCAACCGGTATTAAGACGCAATAATTCGTTCAAGAAGAGTTCCACATCCGATGATCAACATTCACACAAACATGTTTACACCCGGTATAATGTAGAGATCTCAATGCTCTAGATTTCAATAATACCGTAAATAGCGATCCAACTCATATTTAGCGGCGACAGTACAAGCTTCCAGACATCTTGCCCGTGGTATAGTAGTGAATGTTTGTAAATACGAACACGCTTAAGGCTGCCAAGACTAAATCAGCAGTAACCATAAGAGGGCAGGAGGGAAGGTGCAGTGGGGTGGGGCAGAGGTGTGAGGCAGGGGGTGAAGCAGAAGGGTAGGGCAAGGGGTGGGGCAGGGGGGTGAACGGCGTGATAGTTCTGCAATTAGACCTGAAAAAATCCCTCTACACTGAGACACAAGTTAACACATACATACATACATACATACATACATACATACATACATACATACATACATACATACATACATACATACATACATACATACATACATACATACATAGCCTACATACATACATAACATTACATTACATTACATTACACTACATTACATACTCACAATGGCCAAACAATTCTCTCACTTCATCTGACAATGGCCATGCAAGACCAGCTAATCTGACCAAGCAAGGCAATCAGAACTGGTCAGGAGTGATGGTGGAATAATACTGTGGTGGTGTGGTGCACCGTAGTGGTGTAGTGTGGTAGTGCAGAGTACTGTAGTGTAGTGTAGTGTGGTGTTGTGGTGTAGTGTGGTGTTGTGGTATTGTGGTGTAGTGTGGTGTTGTGGTGTAGTGTGGTGTGGTGGTGTAGTGTGGTGGTGTGGTGTGGTTTTTGTGGTGTGGTGGTGTAGTGCGGTGTTGTGTAGTGTGGTGTTGTGGTGTAGTATTGCGTTGTGGCGTGTAGTGGTGTTGTGGTGTAGTGTGTGTTGTGGTGTGGTGTGGTGTGGTGGTGTGGTGTTGTAGTGTGGTGTTGTGGTGTAGTGTAATGTTGTGGTGTAGTGTGATGTTGTGGTGTACTGTGGTGTTGCAGTGTGGTGTTGTAGTGTAGTGTGGTGTTGTGGTGTAGTGTGGTGTTGTGGTGTAGTAAAGTGTTGAGGTGTAGTGCAGTGTTGAGGTGTAGTATGGTGTTGTGGTGTTGAGATGTAGTATGGTGCTGTGGTGTAGTATTGCGTTGTGGCGTAGTGTGGTGTGGTGGTGTAGTGTGGTGTTGTGGTGTAGTATGGTGTTGTGTTGTAGTGTGGTGTTGTGGTTTAGTATGGTGTTGTCGTGTAGCATTGTGGTGTAGTGTTGTGCTGTGGTGTATTATTGTGGTGTTGTGTGGTGCTATGGTGTAGTGTGGTGTTTTGGTGTAGTATGGTGTTGTGGTGGGGTGTGGTGTTGTGGTGTAGTGTGGTGTTGAGGTGTAGCGCAGTGTTGAGGTGAAGTATGGTGTTGTGGTGTTGAGATGTAGTATGGTGTTGTGGTGTAGTATTGCGTTGTGGCGTAGTGTGGTGCTGTGATGTAGTGTGGTGTTGTGGTGTAGTGTGGTGGTGTGGTGTTGTGGTATAGTGTGGTGTTGTGGTGTGGTGCTATGGTGTAGTGTGGTGTTTTGGGTAGTATGGTGTTGTGGTGGGGTGTGGTGTTGTGGTGTAGTGTGTGGTGTTGAGGTGTAGCGCAGTGTTGAGGTGAAGTATGGTGTTGTGGTGTTGAGATGTAGTATGGTGTTGTGGTGTAGTATTGCGTTGTGGCGTAGTGTGGTGCTGTGATGTAGTGTGGTGTTGTGGGTGTAGAGTGGTGTGGTGTTGTGGTATAGTGTGGTGTTGTGGTGTGGTAGTGACGACGTAAATCAACACCCAGATAACTAGCCAAACTCAGCGTGGTGGTCAGGGAGTAAGGACGTGTCAATATTGGTGAACTAGCCAAAGGCACTACATCCATGTTACATAACGCCTCACACGTCTGGTAATCTGTTGCTTTAACCTTAGAGTATAGACCTCTGAATAACTGCAACTTCTGATTACAACTCCAAGCTTGTAGTGATGATAAAATGTCGGTGGTTTAATTGAAACCTTTACAATGACTTCTGGAAAATACATGAATTAAGTATCACATCTTATTCACTCTAAAATTTTATTATTATTATTATTATTATTATTATTATTATTATTATTATTATTATTATTTGATGTATCATCTTTATTATCATTATTCGGTTTCATTACGTATCTGAGTGAGGTTGACCTTCCTTATCTTGGAGGATGTTTTTGACCCGATCTTTGAGGAATGAGCTTCAAAACACACACTCACGCACTGACACACCCACGCATTAAACCAACACACCAACACATACATGTACTCAACACCTTGCACTCAATTCTGTAGATATACGCTCAACAACCACACACTCAACACGCACAAACCCAACACATGGACACACTCAACATAATCTCACACTAAACACAATCTCACACCCAAGACACACGCGACACCCATATAAGCCATACATTCAACATATACACACTGAACACAGACCCACACTACATACAAACACTCAAAACCTGCCCACCCATCCACATACACACACACACACACACACACATACCACACCACTTAACACCCACACACTCAACACCTATATTCAACTCACACACACACACACTGAGGCGGTCTGCCATCACCATTGGTTAGGTAATAATATGACAGTGACGATGAACATTACAGTAGTACAAGAGGATGGGCGGTTCAGGGTGAGGATTGTCTTGGTCAGGGTCAGTGAGCGTATGAAGGAGGTTTCTTTTAGAGAGCATAGCCTAATGTGGGTATGGTGGGCGCAGGAAAGTAGTATTTTTCATCTACAGGGCGTGTGACAGTTCAGTCTCTCTCACTACGCCCCTATTGTACAGAGATAGTTTATCAAGGCCTCAAGAAGATTGCGTGTATGTGTGTGTGTGTTGGTGTGTAGGACTGAGTGTACTGTACATACGTCTATGTTTTTTCTTTGTTTATTTACCAGTGTGAAGTTTGTGTGTGTAAACGTACGTGTTTCTGTATTTATGTGTGAGTGTTTCTCTTTGTGTATTATAGTGTGCATATTGACCTGATAATTTATATCCACTATCTTTAACATGGAGATTATAATGTACTGTAACTCTATAAACAGTTCATTGACGTTCTTAATTCAATTGCGGCTTCCTTCTACATTAAAAGCAGTGTTATTCACCTTCACGAATACAGTATTAAGACTAAGTATTATTCTACATCTGAGCTCTGTTCACATTCTTCTAATAAACAAAACAAAATTCATTGCTCATTAAAATAAGGTCACTCTATTTGAATTGCAGTGTCATTCTACATTATAATCACATTCACTCTCTACAACCTTGAACCCAGTGCAATGTGACACACCCAGCCTGACACACACACACTATGGTGCTTGAGTCGTCACATTTTC